GTTCATTATACAAGATTCGAATACACTCCCAATTCAAAAGAACCAACCACATCTAAGGTACACACAACAAAAATGCCCCTTGAATTAATAAAAATGGTAGTTCCTAGTGAATTCTCGGAACACTAGGTACCCGGGCACAGCAGGGCAGCTGAAAAAATAGTATTCGCTTAGAAACGAGTAAAATTGGGTTATATTGAAGTTTGAGTAGTATAGTTAAAAAATAGTTATAAGTATAGCCTCTTGTAATCTAATAGCTGTACCTTTCATAAAATATTCAATAAAAGCTCAGTCAGTATGACTAATTAAAAAAAAAAAAAAAAGTAAAGGATATAATGAAAATAATTAAGCAACAAAATTATAATATTGCAAAGAAATGGTTAAAAAATTATCAAAGAAGAGCAAGTATTGAATTTTTGTTAACTTTTCTTTTATATTATTTTTTTTAAAAAAAAAACTATTTTAATTTTCTAGATAGTTTGATTTTAATAATTATATAACAATTTATATGGACTGGTACATATTTGATTGAATTATATCAAGTTTAATCCAAATCTGATTTGAATCTAATTGGATTTGATCAAAATCGAATTTGAATCTGATAATTTTATAAATTTAAAATTCAATTCGATTCAAATCTGATCAGATTAAAAATTTTGAAATTTGATTTAATCTGATTTGTATCTGATTCACAGATCAATTGGATTTAAATCAAAATTGTAAATACTAATTATAAGTTATTTCTCTATTACAGGTGAATAAAAAATTACTACCCAAAGAAGGTTGGAACCAAGTGTGTTCTGGAAGTAAAAGCTCCCACTAAGTAATAAGTCTTCTCAGACGGTATACAAGAAGAAAATCAAAATCAAGAATAAATAAGTTCCTCAAATAATCAGGAAAAAAAAGAATATTTCAATTGGATATTTCTTATTGAGAAAAGATCTTGATAAGCAGGCCTTTGGAAAAAGCTTGAAATATTTTTTTAATTTTTACTTTTTTATTTTCTTATTATTGCTTAGATATTTTTAGATATTTCTCTTTTTTTTTTCAATCTATCCTTTTGTAGTTTCCTGTATTCCAGCAGCTTGGTATAATATATGGCAGTGACAATCTTCTGACAATGATGCAATGAACTAGGAGGGTTTTTACTCAAAGATACTATAGAACAAAATATTGTTTCCAAGGCCAAACTTAGAGACTTTTATGCTTATGATGAGTTAGTTAGATTAATAATAGTTTAGCTATAGTATGTATTATACTACTCGAATAAAAATATACTTATGTTTTCAATTAATTAATAAACTAACAATCTAGTTTGACTATAGATACTCAAAAAAAATAAATTTTTCTGAGATTATTATTATTTATGTTTTTGATTAGATAATATGAAAAAACCTTGTTATATTATTTTGATGTATTTATTTGTTTATATTGAAGATTTTATTCGAATTTTACAAGTTGTTATCATATTTGTATAGAATATCAATCAACTTGTTTAGATTACAAGTTATATACTATATATACATATGTATTTTGTTTATTGTTTTTATATGTATACTTGTTTTGCTTGTTTACTTTTATGTGTTTGTATTTGCATAACAAGGTAAAAAATAGGTATATTATTTGTGTGTATATGTATATTTATACTGTCTTGTCCTTAGAGAGCTTTAATATTCTTCTGGGTCTTTAAGTAACTAAAATAACTTGATTTATCGAGTAAACTTAGTTGCTTTTGAAATTTCTTACAATATTAAGAAAGATATCAACCTGTACTGACCTTACTGTAAACTATGTAAAGTTGATATTGACTTTCTTTTTTTGATTGTGAATTTGTTTACAGGTCTCTTTTCTTTTTCTTAAAAATTTTTAAGAAAAAAAATTAAAAAAAAATTACTAAAATAATGTACACCTCTTTTCTTGATATTTCTAAATAGCTTATTGTATATGTGTTGAAAGAGCTTGATAGCTTGGTTTGAAGGATATGTTGTTTTTTTTTTGTATGTTTAAACAGGTTCACGTTTTCTAAAAAAAATTGTCAAAAAAGGAAATTGAGAAAAAAGAGGATTAGCAGAAAAAGTTCAATTAAAATAAAATTATTTAAAAAAAATTTTTTTTAAAACCCATGATCAGGTCAGCACTGTATATTTATTAATCATTATGAAAATTAATAGAAATACATAGAACAATTGTATCATGACTAAACTAAAAACTTGTACTGATATACTTGTCAATGGCTTTTAATTCTCAAAAAAGCTTTGGTCTCTAAGTACAATCTTGGAAACAATATTTTGCTTTGTGGTAGATTTTGGATAAATATTCTTCTAATTTATTTATTATTGCTAGCAGATTGTTACTACTTATTATTCTCCAAGGAATTGAATTTGAGAAACTATAAAAGGGAAAAGAAAAAATAAAAGGAAAAAGAAATATCTAAAACTGTACAAATACACTATATGAAAAGAAAAAAGAAAAAAGAAAAATAAAAATGTTTTATGTTCTTCAAAGAATCTCTGCTAAAAACCTCTTTTTATTAGGAATCAGCTCTTTTGAGATATCCTTTATCTTCCTGACTATATAAAAAACTTATCTATTCATGTTTTTGATTATTTTCTTATGACTATCTAAAATAGTTATTGCCTATTCAAATCCAGTATTTTGCTCAATGCTTTTTTTCTTTCAGTCTTGATTTTATATCTATCTATACAAAAAAAAATGATTAATAGTGAACTCTAGATTCTTATATGACTTTTTAGTCTTGTTGAGTAATTTCCAATATCTTTCAGCAATCACACTTAATTAAAGAAATTTTATTGATATTTATCTTAATTGTAATATCATTATACAATATCTAGGAAAATGCATTTTCAATTATAAAGAAGAGCAATATTTTATATTTTTTTGCTTTTCAGTCTTACAGATTGATTGAAATAAGGAAATAATCTTTTTCATGTACTTTGCCTAACTGGAATAATAAAAAGTAGAAGGCTTTGGCTTAAACAAATAATTATTTTTTCACTATCTAAGAAATTTAATACCTATTCTAATAGCCTTATAATTTTTTTGCTTCAGTCAAACTTTATTTGGAGAAGTGAAGGAGTGCATATTCTTAATTTCTTTTTCTTTAATCAATGACATCATCAAAACTTATGGGTATAATCAGTGAAACCTTGTTATATTTTGCTATCAATATATTTCATGTCAACCAATCAGAAACCAGGTAACACTATACTATCAGAAATTCAGGGTCAAACTGAAGTAGATAAAATTTTACAAAAAAAACTATGAAAAACTATAGACATTTTAAGAAGGCAAGAGATAGTATATAAGAAGGTCTTCTTCTATCTAGAAAATCTTTATCTCCATGTCACGTCCAGCTCTGAAAGGTGATACTCCATAAGTTGATTCTTTTACTTTCTAGAACCTTCTCTATATTCTTTATTAACTTTTTATAGTTAATATATCTTTATATACATTTGATTTATAGGATAATATAAACTATATACTATCTATTATAATAAGTAATTAGACTATTCTATATATAATATATTAGATCAATCCATTCAATTACCTGGTTTCTCTCCTAGGAAGGACATATGATGCTCTCTTAATTTTTTCTAGAACAATTTTATAGAGTAATCTAGTTATCAGATTATTGTATATACTTTAATCTGTCCCCAATTTTGAGACTTCAGTGTAATCTATGAATTTTTCTTTCCATCAAAATCTTTCAATGATATGTTACAGGCATGTTTGACCATACTTTTATATATTCTACCAGTATAATATTTATTCTTTTTAGAACTTTAGTCTTCTTGATTTGATAACTTTTTTATTAATCAATAAGATCATTGAAGTATCTTTACCAATTTACTTTCTATCCTGATTGACTATAAGATTAATTCCATTCTTCTTCACCTTATCATGATAATAATAAGATACTAATTATTTATAATACCATAGACCAATCTGATCTGATAGAGATTAGCTATAGATAATACTATATTATAATGGATCTTTCATTTCAGGTATCAATAAGATAGCCAGAATTGTATCCAATAACAAGTAATAACTTGTTATCCAATGGAATTATTTTTATTGTATATGATATTTTCACTTGGTCCTCAGGTGGTATTGAACTTTGAACTTTGTGATTGGAATTACTTAATATCAACAATTACTGTATATTATACAGTATATTGTATATACATATATATATATAATAAAACTATTATATTTTTAACATTCTATCAATTAATGGTAAAATTAAGGTAGAATTACTATATATAGTAATATCAAATAATTCTATCACATGTACTGTATAGACACCGAGTCTTTCGGATCGGTACTTTAAATTACCGATCCTGAACCGAAAATCCCGATTAGTTTGAAAAATGCATAAGCTATATTATCGATTATTCTATTCTTGATGTTTTTCAAAATTTGAATCATAAATTCTTACGAAAAGCATATAACCTATACTGACTCGCAGGAATTGAGTTTTCACGATATTACTGTTGTAAGTTTAGCGGCATACAGTAAACCAGTTCTCTCAATAAATCAACTATTGTGTAATAATATACTATTTAATAATAATTTGATGTATTTGAATTATATATAACAAGAAAATAATATTTTTATTTTTAAAAAATTATAAAAAAGGCAATAATTTCATATAAAAGAATTTTCTTCATTTAAAATATAGAATTCGTTTCAGTATTTGTTTCATGAAAAATGAAAATTTGCATGCATAATAGAACCAGTACGAGTGCGATTTGACCGGAATATCATAATTCTAGATTGATCACCCAATGCGCATGCAAATTTATAACTACGTTTTATTTAATTGGCTCACTCGCGACAGGGAGAAATCAATATAAAAGCGTAACTATCAGCAATGGCAAAAATAAAAATTTTCACTTCTTCGAGCTATTTTAGCAAAGAAATAAAACTATTCATTTCTTTTATTTTACATACCATACTTTTCACAAGTTTGAATCGGTCGAATGGCAGAAGTAACTCTTAGGATTGGTATAATGTCGGCCAGAGAGCTGGCACCAGCGTATGTATTAAAGTTTCTAAAAGACCTATTTGATCGATATCACTAGGTGTGATTAGACATCTATGAACAATATCAGATATTTATTAATAAATCAAAAAAATTTTTATACTTGATAGCGATAAGGACGGTTTTTCTGATCCATATGCCGTTATCCGAATAGCGAACAAAAAGTACGAAACCGAAATACAAAAAAAAACCTTGAACCCAATTTGGAATAAATTTTTTGATGTAAAAATATCAGAAAATAATGTGCCTCCTCATGTAACCATTACCGTGTGGGATCACGATCGTTTTGGTCGTGATTTTCTGGGTGAGGTGACCATTCCGATTAAACAAGTGTTTGCCAGGAATAATGGTGGACTAAATGATGGTTGTCCTAGGACTTATGATGATCATGAAAATCTGCCGGCTGCCTACACGCTACAGAAGCGAAGTGCGAAGAATGATGTTAGAGGTGATGTTGTTTTGAAGTTCGGCATTATCGACGCAAACAACAGATCATTGGAAGAATTAAGTTATTTATGGGAAAATTTGACTAATCATGTTAATAAAGGTTAACCTCTGATTGAGATCGATGAGACGTAATTGATCAAGGGCTTTATTAATTTTGAATATTTAATTTTGCGACGATAGTATTCGATCTTCTAACTGATTAGTGTATACATAAAATTTCGCTAGATTGATCAACTGCAGCGTAACCGTGATACAATAAACATAAGATGAAAGTTTGTTTTTTATTCGTTACATTCTCAGATAGTATTACTAGATCTATTTTTAGACTCATAATGCTTCTTACATTTCGGATTTAAATAGTGATGGGCGAACCGGTGGTTTGCGAACTGGTATAACCAATAAAAAATAGACAACATTATTCAATACATGTATCTTGATTGATAGATTTTTTATTTTACAGTATTATAGTTGGTGAAATTTGTTATAAAAATTTTTTTTTTGCATAATAAATTTTTAAATTAATACACTACAGTGGTTCCTCTTTGGTATCAATCCCATTAATATCAACATATATATGTAAAAACCTCGTTAATATCAACATAATTTTAAAAATAAAACTTATTAAAAAATTAATCAACTTTTTTTTTTCACTAATCTTTGAATAATACATAAGATAGATTTTTGTAAAAGATACTTTAATTATTTTTAATATTGAAGTTATTAATTTTAAAAAATAAGATTTTTTGGTTCCATTAAATAGATAAATATCTAAAAGTTGTTATATTTTTAGCTAATAATAAATATTGACTCAAAGTCTTGAAATAAAAAGAAAATTTAATTATTAATTAATTATTTATTTTTTTAAAAATATTTAATATTAAATTTAAAAATTTTTAAATCTAATATAAAAATTACTATTATTATTTTTTAAATCTTTTGCTTAAAAATTATCTGATTTTATTCTATTTATAAACACTTCAAATTTTCTTTTTTATTTAAAAAAAAATTTTTTTATAACCTTTTGTCAGGCTAGTTATATATACTTTATTAAACAATTGTAAGCTATATATTATATATACTGTATATTATTAAAACTAAATCTCTAACTAACTCACTTGTTAAAGTCTTATATTTATCTAGGATTCTAAGTACAACTTCAGAAGTGATTTATTGCTCCATTAGTAGTTTGGGTGGAAACTCTTCCAACTTCTGACATCATTGCCTGCAGGTCACTACTACAGATTATTGTATAAGGTTCTGATGAGAATCAAAATCCAATCACTTCATCCCATATTTAATTCCATTTCTTATAATTTTTACAAGGTTTTTGTTTTCATACACTCTCTCTTCTTCTCTTTGCCTTATACTTTTATAACCAGGATTATTTTGCAGGTCTTGCCTTCTTACTTCCTGAACCTTCTTATATTTTCTCTTCTATCAATTCATTGTTCTTGTTCCTATTCAATAATCTTTTCATATCTTATGTTCCAGATTTGTTTCTGAATCTGATTGCAAACCTTCTTTTGTACTTTTAGAATCTATTTTTTTACCATTGTTCCCAGCTTCTTTCCATGACAATTTAGATTAGCAACTTCTTTAATTGCATTACCTTCTACTAATCCTATACAAAAGTTAAGAGTGTTCGAACTGGTTTGCAAGACTGATTTTATTAATTTAAAGGCTATTTATCTAGTTCATCTTTTTCTCTTCTATTGTCAACTACTAGTTGTACTATTTTTTTATCCACTTCTCTCTTATATTCTTGATATAACTTGTTGAATTCTTTAAGAAAAGTCTTGGATCCTTTTTGCTATGCTGCTAGGATCTTAATCTTATAACCAGAGCATTCTAATAAATGTTTTATTGTCTCTTAATGCTAATTGCATGCTATAAATCTTGCTTGCTTGTATAGGTCTGGTTTTATTATTACTAGCTTGTTTAAGATCAATAGTTTATCTTTGTGCAATTTAACTAGGAAACTTCTTCTCTATAAGTTTTTGAAAGAAATATTCCATGTATTTCTATTTTTTAACCTATTTTATATTAGATCCTATAAGTAGATTTGATACTTGTAAACTTGATAATGCCATTTTGTCTTTATTCTATATTGCTATATCCATGATAGAACCATTGATCTTTTATTGATTTAATTGATAAACTATCATATTAAACTATTTATCACTTTTTCTTGTCACATAGTTTCTATGGATATCTTGCTTGATTTGAGACTTTTCTGTTCTATTGCTGATAGCTTTAACACCTCTTTAACCAATTAGTCTGTTTCTTCATTTCATAGATTATTAGAGTGGGCTTTAACCTTAATTAACATTAATTGAATATGTTTTTTCTTTACAAGATCTAATATTCTTATCTATAATGATCAATTCTTTTCTTTTAGCCTCTTTTGTATATCATCTTCAGATCTTCTTTCTCTAGTTTTTTCCATTTAAAGATGCAAACTTGACTATCTGTAAAGATCTCAACCATACTGTTTATTTGAACTACTAAAGCTATTGTAATCAGTACCACCAGTTCTATCCTTATAAATATGGATCGCAATTTTTATCTGAAACTGAATGATCCACGGATTTGATCCAAACAGATCAGATCAGATTTTAAATTTTTTGATCCATTTGTATTCGAATCGGATACGGATTTCAAATTTTGAAATCCGATCTGATTCGATCTGATCCGTTCAGATCAAATCTGCAGATCATTGATTTTGGATAAAAATTACGATCCCTAGCTTGAGGTCATAGTGAAAAGGGCCTTTGGCAAGGAATGCTGGTGATTCATT